GTATTTTACCCCTCCTGGCCTAGCTTCTTCATATCATCTTGAAAGCGTGAGAGGTGACTCTGTCCTTTCCGTGGGGAACAACAGACTTTACGTTTTCCTTTAGAAATGTGAAGCTTTTTTTGTTCATCCGTCGAAATAGAACCAACTGTTTAATAAACTGCTCTCATCCAAACCCGAAGCCTTCACGGCCTTAGCGCAACACATCGATGAACTGAACAAGATTTAAGAGAGAAGGAGAGAGAGAGAGAGAGAGAGAGAGAGAGAGAGAGAGAGAGAGAGAGAGAGAAAGAGAGGGGAGAGAAATAGAGATAATCTGGCAGACAGACAGGCTGACAGACAGACAGACAGACAGAGACAAAAAATGACTTAGAAGAAAAGCAAAAGAGCCAAAAAGTCAAAGCAAAACAAAATATATTACTGAGTCGGAAAGACTGCATCCAAATTTTAAACAAAAAAACAAAAGACAAAAACGGAAAACAAACAGTGATTCAATTTACCTGTTTAAAAAAAGTAGAAATCGTCAAAGTCCAAAACTTTCCTCGCACATAAACAAACGTCTGTTTTGTCAGAATCCTCTCAGGAAAGTCGCCAACAGCTGATAATCCAAGAAAGGAAAGCGAAAGAAATTACGGTGCGCACCCTCACTCTCCCAAGGCTGAACTCGGCGTAGTGGCAAAGTAAGCGGCGGTTCAGTTTTGTAAGATGATCTGAAAAAGTCGTTACCTGGCAGCCGTTCAAATCTAGAAAAAAAAAATTGATAAAACTTATCACATGTCAGTTGCGGTAATATTTACTTTTTAAAAATCAATTTTACCCAAAAGATGGTTGTTTTTTTATATAGGTTTATTATTTCCAAAATTTATTGTATTTTATTTATTTTATTTCATTTTATAAAAATCTCTTGTCTAATTATTATTTCCTTTTGGGGCGTTTTTTCGCGTTCTCTTTGAAGATAATAATTTGTAGAATAAATTTACTTTTTTGGAAGGTAACTATTGTATTTTTTTTACCCCTAAACTACGTTATCCCTACACAATAATTATACTATAATAAGAATGGTACCGGATTTCTGAAAATCTGACTCGGCGATTCACAGAACTCGACGACAGTCTCGTCTTCTTGTCGACTTGACTCGGTCCTGTCTGTCTGTTACCGCCGCCACTACCACCACCGCTGCTGTTGCGCGTCGCGTGTCGGTCGAGATAGGATCTCTCAGCTGACGGGCCCAGCTCAAGTAAACCTAAGCTCGCACTAAAAGGGTTAATCTATATCGTCTGGTAGGAGACAGAGAGAGCGGGGGAGCGGCGGGAGGGACGAGCCAGACGTGAGAGCAGCTGGGCAGGCACCCGTTTCCGAAGGAACCGGTGTTTTGGGTTTTACCAGTTTGTAAGATACCTCGGTTGGTTCGAGAAATGGTTTTGGTCACTGCTCAGTTAGTTTAGTTTTAGTAAAGGTTTTACGGCACTCGTTACTGCATAAGGTCATATGTGCGCCAATCACTGCTCATAAGAACAAACAATTATATAATGTTTTTAAGAAAAAAAAACACGTCTGCAAGAAGCGTTATACCACATATTAATATGACTACAAGCTAAAGGTGCTTGCTCTAAAAAAATGGGGGGGTTTTTTCTTTTTTTTTATATGCACGTACCTGCTCCCCTTCATAGGTCACCACAGATTTCTATAAAAACAAACAAACAAACAAATAAAACAACACGAATAGACCTTTTTTTTTATTAACTCAATAGTCAAAATACCGCGCTTTTCTTCTTCTTCTTCTTCTTCTTCTTCTTCTTCTTCTTCTTCTTCTTCTTCTT